TGATCATTAGGTTTTTCTTATAGTCTAGATTTTTTTCTGTATTCTATGTTTTTTTCCTTTTCTTTATTTTTAATTTTTCTTTTTTTCTTCTTACTATGTTATTTTTTTAAGCGTAGTTTTGTAAAGGAAGTGTAATTTTTTATATCAGGATTTCCTTTTTCATTTTTCTTAAAATACTTTCTTGAAGTGTTTACTTATTATAGACCATTTTCATAAATATTTATATAGAATCCTTTATCCTGTTGAGATCAAAAAATTATTGAATATTGTAATGAACGAGCCTGACCCTTTCTCTCCTACCTATGTTCCTGAAATGAGTAAAACCAGTAGTATCTCAACGTCTACTACTAATTGCCCTTCATTGTCACATAATCAGTCGCCTGATCTATCTACTCAGCCACAGCATGGTATCCCATTTTATACTGTTGCCTTGTCTACAGCAAAAGATTCTTTGGCGTCGGCCACAGCTGTGAGGGCCGGGCGTATCAGTTCTTCTACGGTTAACCCTCAGTCTATTACGCCTCCCTCTCTCCAAACGCTGCCGACTAATGCTGTTGTAGGTAATGAATCCAGAAAACTCACCGGTGAGTTCGATCTTCCTGGACGTCTTTTTGGGAATAGACGAACTCCACTTTCTGCACTGACTGATAAAATGACAACGGTTAGCACTAATAACAGTCAGAACTCTCCTGCTGGTATTGACTTGGCTTCGTGTTCATCGCCGGACAATATCCGAAAGGAGCGACCACCGGTGCAAAACCCTATTTCTACGTCTATTCTACATTCTACAGCAGCTGATACAGTCACCACACCACCAATTTCACGGAAACCCCTGGAAGATACTATCTTCTTCTCAGATATACTCTTTATGTGGATGGGAGTGGATCAGACAACACATATTACCTATAATGACGCGACGGGGTGCTACGAGATGAATCCAAATTCAGGCAGCGAAGGGCAACTTCAAGCCTTGACGCTTCTTCAGCCGTGTGGTGTTCTGGCGCGCAGTATAGAGGAATCTCTTCGCCGCAGCTTGGGGGAAAACTCATTCCTCCAACAAAGTCTGCGCAGTGCGCTACGGAGGCAGTTGACGCAGTACCACTATCTATTATCGACCATTCGCGAGAAGCAAACTCCAACTCTTACTCTGGGTGATCTTATAGTGGTTCACCAGCGAGTCTACCCTAAGCTGTGGGTAATGCATCATATACTACGGGAAACTGAGTGTGTGAAAGGCGGTGAAATGGCCTCAGTGCTGCGGAAGCGGGTTCAACAGGGCTCTCATCGGTTGTCGGCACTACTACGTGACATCTACACCGAGGCTATTAGCCCATTATTGCGTATGACCGTCGTCTGTATAACCCGTGGAGAGGTAACGGATCCGTTTAACGAGTTTTTTATTGTTTCGAATGACAAGGTCGATGATACTTCGGATAGCTTCTGGACTAGCAAGTTTAGTCTATCACGTAATATGCTCCCTGTAACTGTGTCGCGCGCTGTAGCTGAGGATGTGCTTTTAGTTACTAAAAATATTTGTTTCATTTATAACTGTTGCCGTGCAAAGCAGTGGCGCATGGACCCTGGCATTGTTGCGGAGGCGAACCAGGCTTCCTTTGAAACCCTTCCGAGCGTAGTATGTGACGCGCTCACGTACAGTAACGCGGCTGTTTTACGACTTCTACGGGAACAATTTAAGCTAGACGATATCTTTCGGATGGTAAACGCTTTCTTACTTGTAGGACACGGCGGATTTTTTGAGATTCTTATACCCAAGCTTGTGCCGATCCTTTCTAAACTAAGCCATACCATACATGTGTCTGTAGTACGTGACCAAATGTCGAGTGCCCTTCTTGAGATTGCACCCTACACAAGACACTTAGACACCGACCGCTTTAGTGCCTTACATTGTGAGATTATTAAGGATGAGTCCAAGCTAGGATGGGATGCCTTTGTCATCACTATGCCGCTGTCATCACCGCTTAGCAATATTTTCGACTCTGTAGCCGCAAAAATGTACCGTCCTTTGTTTCGTATTCTCTTTAAGGTTAAGGTCGCTGAGGTATCGCTAAAGACGGCCTGGCGGCAGAGTGTGATTATTGATCGCGCAATTGGTGTCCTACAGCAGCAAGGAGCAGAGGAGATGGCAGCCTGGTGCGAGGTCGCAGCAGATGCTCATCTCCTTGGCCTCCAGCTAAACCATTTTGTGATCAACCTCTGGTCCTATCTGGTGTCTGAAGTGTCCATGGTGGCGTGGGACCTGTTGCAGAAAGCTCTCAGACGCTGCACTTCGCTTGACGACATCCGCGTCGCGCATCACGCCTATTTGGCTTACCTTTTTCAGCGTTCTCTGCTGCACCATGACTGCGCCTCAATCCGTGTGAACGTTGAGAATATTATTACTATTGCTCGAGAGTACTGTGGATCACAGGCACTTTTGACATCGCTGATTGAACGGGGCTCTGGAGAGGTAGTCTCTATCAGGCAGCAATATCAGAGCCTCACTGACGATTTTCATCGTGAGATGTCCGCTTTGCTCACCACTTTAGAAGAACAACACCTACAGTTTGATTTTCTTAATTTTTTGCTGTTGCGACTCAATTTTAATCGATACTATCGAAACGGTGCAATCAGTTCAAATACAGATTTCTAAAAGGATTGTAGCAAGATAAAGGAAGTGAGGTATATAACGGAAATTCTTTTTTTTTAAGATAAGACTACCGAAGCATACCGTTCCTTGTGATTATTTTGTGCTGAAGTTGATTACTTGTTTATGCATCAGGAAGACAAAACCCATTATCATAATATATTTTTTCTGATTGAAATGTTTTCTTTTGCTTAGCTTTACCTTTAGGCAACTGGTATATTTTGTCGCTTCTCTTCCTCCCTTCCTATGCCTTGA